CGTGTATAGTACTAGTACATTACGTTACTTATGTCACAGGTACGTAGTATATATATATATATATATATATATATATATATATATATATAATATTGTATCTCTTTGGCCACGCCGGTTTCAGTGTGGCTTTAATGCGGTTTCCATGCCGCGGTCGCGATTACCCGGCTCTATTTTCTTTAGGGATCAAAAAGTTACCATTCAATAATCTTTCCCCACAAAAATGTGTGCGTAGCATGCCTTTACTTTCAATTACGGCATTAACTTTACGGCCAAGACGGTCATGGAAGCAGTATTTCTATGATAGGGATCGCACGCCCTGAAGCACGTTTTATCTATCTTCACCTTTGTCATTGCGGCTATCTTTAAGCCGCAATGCAAACCTTTACTTTGCAATTAAGACAGCTGATTTTGACAGCCTAGTTGTGACTTTTGGGCAGTAATCCGAGGAAAACAGTAACTTTTCCACAGTCGGAGACCTCTAGCGGTTAGCAATATGAGTTAAAAGCAGAGCACGGGTCCCTGTGAGGCATAATACCGTCTATTTTCTCTCTTTCTTTGCACCTATCTTTATTTGTCTACATCCAATTATAGTTTTAACTGCAGCAGCAGGTGACAACCCAAAAGAGGCTCTCTCGCCTTTTACATACACGCACATACGTACACGCAGGCGGGACGTGGCATGCATGTGTCTTGGTGTGAGGGAACACGCGTATGTGGTCTTGCCACCGGCATGTATTTTCTCTAAGGAAAGTGATGTATCTGAATTTGGGGTAATGAGTAGTGCCTTGCATATTTGAATGGGGGAGGTAATTTATGTCTGATGTGTGCCGCCACACCACGCCCGGGCCGCGGCAGCCACCGCCGCACCTAACTAGTAATAATTCACGCAGCTACAGCACTGTGATTAACCTTACAATAATGAATAATGTTAATTCACTTTACGCTTGTTATTAATCTAATTTGTGTGTCGTGACATGTCATGCAGCGTCTGCAACGATGTATTTTCGCGTGTATAGGTCGCACTAGTTGGTACTTGCGAGAGACTAATTACAGAGGCAAAACAAACTAACTACATTAGCATCAAGAGTTAGCATGATACACTGTTTTGTACAAAAGAAATTCTACCCATCCCATGAGAATCCCCATCCTCCCCTAACTACTGCTGCTTGTGTGAATGCCCCACCCTCCCACAACTATACCCCTTCCCGTATGAATGCCCCACCCTCCCACAACTACCACTGCGCGTGTATGCCCCACCCTCCCAAAACCACCCCTTCCCGTATGAATGCCCCACCCTCCCACAACTACCATTGCGCGTGTATGCCCCACCCTCCCAAAACTACCCCTGCTCATATGAATGCCCCACCCTCCCACACTATTGCTCGTGTAAATACTACACCCTCCCAAAACCACCCCTGCTCATATGAATGCCCCACCCTCCCACAACTACCGTTGCTCGTGTGAATGACCCACCCTTCCATAACTACCAGTGCTCGTGCGAATGCCTTGACTCGTTCAGTTACTTATGTTCACGAGAATGCTTGACTAGGATGTATATTGTGTATATTCGGATGAGCTGTGGCAAGCAGTTATAAGGCATGCAGTTATATATTAGTTATATATTAGCAAGCAGTTATGTATTATTAAGAGGTGTATGGGTGCATGCAAGTTGAATTACATTTAAACTTGCGCATAAATGTTATGCTCAATTTAAATGTTTATTCAATGTGAGAATATGGAGTAAAATATATGATATATGCAACCTGTTTGTAGTAAAGAGGAGTGTAGGCTGGCTTTTAGAGTTATTAAATAAAAGAACGAAAGGTCTTACCTGCGTCGACCCATCGCGTGCTTCGAAATGAGATTTTGAGGTACTTAATGTTAACGCGATTTCACTCGCGTGCAGCCAGTAACAACGACATTTCTTCATTTATACCTGCTGGCACGATCCTGTTATACGGAGCACTGCAGGTCTAGAAATGGTGTTCACGATGGGGCAGCAATGCGTGTCGAATTCTCACAGACGATGTATTTCGTGAACGTAACAATGGGGCAGGCTGTTCCACTTTCTCTTATTTCTTGTGTGAAAGTCGCGCACACGCGGCTGTGTGTGCAGATGTCTGCTGTCTAGACTAGAGTCTGCGTGTATCTATCTGCTCGTTGGAATACACCAATTCACTAGTACTGTTGTTCATGGTGATTACCGTGAACAACCTTCCCCTTTTAGAGACAATGCAAACAGGATTGGTCGTTCTATTGCGTTTTAAACATAATAAATTAATAATTATATGTGTATAAATATGTATACATGTGCGTGTGCGTGTGCGTGTGCGTGTGCGTGTGCGTGTGCGTGTGCGTGTATGTGTGAGTGGTGCGTGTGTGTGTGTGTGTGTGTGCGTGCGTGCGTGCGTGCGTGCGTGCGTGCGTGCGTGCGTGCGTGCGTGTATGAAATGTTGTAGATGTGGCATGCAGTTTTTTGTTACTCGGAGCTGAAGGTGTCTGTTACAGATGGTTACAATGTATTACAACTGGGTGAACAGACCGATACATATTATATATAGAAGCCCCACGCGCGCATGCGGTGAGGTCAAATCGTTTTTTTGTAGGAAGGCTGTGGATAATCCGTTTAGAGTGTCCTATCCATGTCATGGGTAAATGTATGCACGCTGCCGTGCCATTTGCCGTAGATGGCTTTTCATGCCGCTAAATTTGCAACTGATTGTATGTATAATGGTCATTTCGATATGCTCCAGTTGCAGTAAAAGATTCCAAATTTTTGACAGTATAATAGTCTCTCAGTGGGAGATAGGTAAGAATCGTTGCTAGATCCACGCCGCACGTAGACAAGTTTATATGACAAGAAAAACTTCCAATTTCGCAGTGCGTTCCTTTGATGAGTCGTAGAGTATCGCCGTGTAGAATTATAAATAGTGTGCGTGCGTACGTGCGTGTCTGGGCGGGTGTTCGTGAAGAAGGTGGGATGTAAAACGATGTCTACTGCTGAGGGAGACTGTCAAACAGGTTGGCGTTGTGACGGGCCGTCTGTTTGCTCCGTTCCACATCCTTGGGCAACAGCCGAATCTCCCCCCAAGCAACCGCTGAGCCTCTAATCCTATTTTGCATGTTTCCATCGGCCCGTAATTCGCATTCGAGTTGTTTTCCCATGCCGTACGCTCGTAAACTCTCTGTTTAGTTTAGAGATTATTAGTAGTCCTTCCATCAGAGGTGCCAGACCCGTACTGTACTAGGCATCGTCCGTATATAGTAAACGTTATATTAATTGATATTAGTGTTACAGTATACGATATGATATAATAATAGATATTTATATATAATATATTATACTATAATATATTAGTATTGCAATTATATATAATAGCAAGAGCTAATAATACCTTTAGGTATTATTCGCTCTTGATAATAGTAGTAGTGGTATGGGTCGTGGTTGGTTGTGGCAGCGGCAGCAGCGGCGGCGGCAGCAGCGGCAGCAGCGACAGCGGCAGCGGCAGCAGCGGCAGCAGCGGCAGCAGCGGCAGCAGCAGCAGCAGCAGCAGCAGACGACGACACCAGCAGCAGCAGCAGCAGCAGTGACGGCAGCAGCAGTAGCAGGAGCAGTTCATCCAGCCTTGCCGTCATTTCATTCCAAGGCGAGCAAAATGATCAATCTGCACTCTGTGTCCGGTTTAGAGATGATGCAGTAATTTCGTGCTCTCATTATTATCTATTACTTTCTAATTCACTAATAAATAACGGTCACACGGATAGCTGTAGTGGCCATTAGTGAAATCGCATTAGTTATTATAATAATATATAATTATATCACGTAAGTGCGGGACTCGGTCTTTAAACGAGTGGCTATAACTAGATGATCTACTAATTGGGTAATGAGTACATAGATGGACAGATACAGGGAGGTGGATTGTCTATTTGGCAGAACAGCAATCAGAACGACTTCTCTGCGTAACTCTCACTCACTCATACACACTCACTCACGCACTCACTCACTCACTCACTCACTCATACACTCACTCACTCACTCACTCACTCACTCACTCACTCACTCACTCACTCACACTCACTCACTCACTCACTCACTCACTCACTCACACTCACTCACTCACTCACTCACTCACTCACTCACACTCGCTCACTCACTCAATCACTCACACTCACTCACTCACTCACTCGGTCTTCCACCCACCACCCACCACCCAGTCAGACAGTCACTCACGCACTCACTCGCTCGCTCGCTCGCTCACTCACGCACTCACTCATTCACTCACTCACTCACACTCACTCACTCACTCGCTCGCTCACTCACTCGCTCACTCATTCACTCACTCGCTCACTCACTCACTCACTCGTTCACTCACTCACTCGTTCGCTCACTCATTAAACACAACTGGCTGTCCTTGCGATCATCTTATTGATCCTGGTTTGAACATGCTGTGGGCATCAGCTATGATGCTCCTATCGTAGCCTTGAACGATCGCAGAGCTTATTTATGACTGCCCAGATGCTGTTTCAGTTGTGCAATGTTTGCAACCACCTCGGCTGTGCTATCCGGCATTGTTCTTTGAGTAGTTTGCGTTGGTCTTAAAAAATTACAAGCAATCGCAGCTACAGTCTTTTTCATGATTAGTTGGGGTTTTATTGCCGGTAACTGCCGCACGTATCCTCGACGAGTGGCACATTTCCACGCGTTGACGCGTTCACGTGGATTCGCTGCTCAGCTGGCATGGGCCGATATGTGACAAACGCGTTGTTGACAATAAACAACAAATAATATGCTGAGTAGTGATCCATAGGATTATGTTCCATGCACTAGATGGGTTTCCGTAGCTCGAGATGTTATTATAAAGATAAACACGATCTCATTGCGTTATCAATTCATATCAATCGAGAAGAGAGAGATCGAGAGAGAGAGAGGGGAAAAAGAAAGAAAGGTTAGGGGAGGGATGAAAAGAGAGACAGATAGAGGGGGCAGAGACAGACACAGAGACAGAGTGAACGAGAGAGTGTGAGAGTGAGAATGGTAGAGCGAGTGAGGGCGAGAGGAAATGCAAGCGCGAGAGAGAGATAGAGAAAGAACAAGAGAGAGAGAGAGAGAGAGAGAGAGGTCGGAGAGAGAGAGAGTGAGAAGAGAGAGAGAGAGACGAGAGAGAGAGAGAGAGAGAGAGAGTGAAAGAGAAAGGAGCATAAGCGGTCGGTACGCATACTTAGGCTTGGTCCCTTTGCAAATTATGATTATCACCCGGGAGATGCGCGCAATACGTGAGAAAGGAATTAACGCCATGTCACGTGACAATTATGTAATACGATGGAACAGTGCCGATGGCGCAGGAGGTTGTTCATGGCAGACGTGGGTAGCCTTGTAACAACTCGCTGTGGTGATCATCGTGAGCGATTTAAATGCCAATGAAATGATAAAAACACGCTCTCTTCCGAACGTAACAACCGGCCGCCCTTCTTAATACACTGTAACATACTTAGGGTTTTGAAGCCGTCTGCTATGACCTGGCTACGAAACGGGGGTAACGGACATGTGCAGGCGAGAGTGGCATCATTGCAACGATTGTTTTGTTTACAGGGAGCGCCACACGAGGTAGATGACCCTGGTACGGGTATCGGCGCGTTCCGATTCATGCTGGAAGCCAACAAGGGCCGATCTATGCTGGAGTTCCAGGAACTAATGACGGTCTTCCAACTGTTGCACTGGAATGGCAGCCTGAAAGCGATGAGGGAGCGACAGTGCTCACGGCAGGAGGTGTGTTGTCATAGCAACGATGCTACACGTGTAGCATCATAGCATACATTTGCAGTGTTGCGTGATCGCAACGATGTCATGTCTCATCAGGGATAAAATCATCCGACAGATACGTGGAGCTCTCGTTTGTAGTTTGATGGATTGGTTATCTTTCGAATGATTCGGTGTCCACTGACGTTATATATTGTACATTGGCAGATGTTTGGTGGAGAATGCAAGCGTTGGTTAATTCACAAGATATAGGATGTTCAACATTAATTTGAAATCACTGTTTATGGTTAGAAGTAGCAGTTTGAATCTCATATCATGATATGACTCTGGTTTAAGGTACTACATTTGGTCCTTTTAGAATTTTCAAGCGTTGGGGTTTGCCAGCTAATCTCGCCCTCACCTCAAAATTACCACTGATCGTAAAGAATAGCTCCCTCGCACTTGCACTTGTGTAAACAAATTGGTGTCTTGGTGGCGCAATTTAAATGTTGAAATTCCGCAAAGGCTTGCCAGCACTCTGGCAGTTGCCTAGCCACGCGTTATTCAATGAGTGGGCGATGGAATTAGAACGGATGTCGAACGTAAGAAGTAGCGCAAGCAAGGTATTGCTAGTAACGTCCTGCTGGCGGCAGGGGTCCATGATATACGACTGGGTGGGAGCGTGTTTACACTCCTGCTGCTTCACAAAGCATATAAGTTATGCATGCCTGTTGCTGATGTTGCCAGGTTGCAGGCAGTCATTACGTGAAGAGCGTCTCTTATAACCCACACAGCTGTGTACAACATGACATGTGTATGCAACGTTCCTATTGTTGGTCGTCTGCCATTTCTACAATACATCCAAACACTAGGAGTCGAAGGAAATCTATAACGATGGCCGGTTTTATCGCAAACGATTCGCTTTGAATGGTTGTTCCGTTCGTGACGTGGTCTACAGAGAAACCTGTGTTAGTCAACAGCTCTGTATAATAGATTCGTGTTTTACGAAAATAACTTTTTAGCACTTTCCTAGAGTAATTCTCATATACATGGTTGGCTGTAATTTTGTAATATACGCTTACAAAATGAAGGAACAATTATTCTGTGTTATGAATTACAAATTAATTCTTACTTTTATTCGTGGCTCATGATGTGATGCTACGTTACCAATTCAATATCGATGGGTATTCACTAGGAATTTCCACTTGAATTTTACAGGTATTGAACCATTATTCGAACAGAGTACTGGATGATGACATGAGGTCACAGATGGCACTAGACTGGATCACCAGGGAAAATGAAACTCGTGGTATGTTGGCACACTGACTTTTTTGCAGAGTGATACGAATTTCTAAACAATGAATTTTCTTACGGTGTATTTCTGTATGTCTGCACGAAGGAATAATATGAAACTTGCAACCACTCTTTGTCACAATTTCGCTACCATGTGCCATTTCACTTGTTCATACACGACCAGCCCCCCACCAAAACAAACAGCCCCAACTAAGAAAAATTTATGGTGAAACGTTTGATGTTATTATGGGTTCGAGCTAATTATGAATGTGGCACGTCTATAGCCTATGCACTATGCGTGCGGAGAAAGGCAAGCTTTGCTATATGTACTGACCCCCTGATGAACTGGTGCGCGTGATGGTGAGTGTGCATGGGATTGCGACTGAATGTGATGGTGGCGTGCTGCAAAGCTAACAAAAACCTGTAAACGTTCACTGCTCGGAAAGTGACGCTTTGGTTATGCAAGCAAATCTCAGTTAGGGACTACAAGCTGCATATTGTGTGTTGCAGTTCCGATGACCCAGCATGATCTTGTGATACATTGTTTTTATATCGCGGAGCGCGACTAGTTGATTGACAGGAATGATGCTGTTATGGGAATTTCTGTTGTACTTCTAAGAATTGTTCATTTAGTCACGCACAAGTGAAAGAAATGTTACCTTGGCATTCTCTCTTACAATTGGCCATATAAACTTGCCAATCATATCAGTGAGCACCAATGGTCATTTGTTTGTGTGCATGTAGGGATTGGTTAAATCATGTGTAACCGATCTTTCAACTACACTCATTTCGATAGTTCCCACCAGCAGACCCCAAGAACAGTATAATGCTCAATTAGTTAATAGTGACAAAAAAGAGGCAAAATCGTGTTTGTTCGGTTCCTCTGGTAACCATCTCCTTGCTGAGTGGCATAGCATGATGTGAAGATGACCAAAACGGTCACTAGCGTGAATTCGCCTATTGTGTGTTTCTTATGTGCAGAAGCTTAACAGAATTGCATAATGTTATTCAGGTATCATACACAGAGAGCTACAGATCGCAGAGAAAGAGTTGGAATCAGCAAGACTCGCCGGTCGTGAGCTACGCTTCCCCAAAGAGAAGAAGGAGATTCTCTCCCTCGCTCTCAGTCAAATTCCTGTTATTACTAGCAGCACCGCATAGCCACTGTTGTGCTGGGCCGTGCCCTACGAGCCGACAATCTACTCTCCACAGACGTACCCATGTACACATCAGGATGCTTGCAGCTTCCGACCAGGAGCTGCGTGCCCACATCCGTGTATGAAAGGCATGGTTGTTGGGTTGTTAGAACCTTTCCACCAGGAGGCGCCCTCGTCGGTGTGAAACTACAGTCACCGTGATTGGGAGAGTGGCCACCAACCTTGCCACCACGTGGAGCCCTCATCAGCGTTAAAGTACAGTCATCTTGATGGGGAGAATTGCCACCAATGGAAGCCCAGAACGTCTGTGCTAAAAGGCTAGTCACACAAATGTTGGAAAGTTCCCAATGGGCAAGGGTCACATAGGCACCGATTCTGTGATGTATGTCAGACTGCAGGAAGATGAATAATCAAACCAGGTGATAATCGAGTCCCTGAGAAACAGCTTGATCTGCTGCTGACGGAGCGTTTATTATAGATAGTAAAACAAAGAAAACACTTATCTATGTAAGTGGCCAGTAGCCATGCTGTGCACTACACAAATATAATATGATGTATATATATGTTACCAGGAGATGTTATCATAGGATTTAAACAGTCCCTACAGTTTCTACATTTTCATTGATTTTTCTGTGCAACATTCCAAAAGTTCATTGACTGCCATGGTATAACCCCACCAGGGTTGACTGTTAATGAAACGTTTTTACAATAAATAGTTATTTATACATTCCTGTAGGCTGTAGATCATATTATGGCAAGTGGTTTCTGGTCATAAGCCAGTGAGTGCTGCCATCTATTGGGGGTGGTTGTGTCCGTATAGTACATTTCATTTTGTATGGATTCTTTTTGGCATAGTTAAATAATTGTGTTACTCTAACATGACTAAGTATAAAATCAAGTGATACATATAAATAGCATTGGCTGATCCATAAAATCATATACATTCTAAAGACTTAGCAATGGTACGCAAAAGCGTTTTATTATGGATGAGTGATTTCAAAATGGAAAGTGTGACAGTGTGAGGAGAGATGTAACTCCTTTGCTCCTTTTGTAGGAAGTACTGAACTGATATTGAGAGGCATCGGCATAAGAGATTTCTGAAATTGCGATGCGATGGATGCTTGTTTTGTTGTACTGGCATTTGGGCAACGTATAATGACTGATTAAAATCGTTATGTAAATACAAGGATGGTTGTTAAAATCACTAAATATTGTACAAAAATATATGTATTTTTATGCTAGCTATTTAAATTGGTTCTATATTTCTTGTTTTTAATAGATATGAAGCTAATATCTGTAGGTGAGTAGAGAAATCGGATTGAAACTATGGCAATCGTACATTCAAACGTTGCACAGGTTAGACAGTTCTTATATTGTCTGTGTTCCAGCACAAAGATAGTGGGTATTTTCCCCCGAACTCCGAGTAAACGTTATGTAGCAATTTGTGTTGAAAGAATCTTTTGTGTTCATAGCGTTGTGTTCTCCTGATGTTTTTGCTGCTTTTCAAACTTCGGCTGTGCAAACATTGACACCGCCCATGCAAGATGTTCTATGTATGATCTAGATACAATGATGCTGGTCTCGTTTGACACGGTCTTGTAGTATCATCGTGAAAGTTGGCTGCAGTCTGATAACAATGATGTTGGTAAACCACTTGTACGCTTGTATTTCCGCGGAGATATGACATGACACGCTACACTTCGAACGCAACTATTTCACCAACACCTCTAAACGATATGATGTGTACCAGCTGATCATGACATACGCTTAACCAAATACAGTGTTATATATTCGAGATATGTTATTGTTTGTGTGCAATTTTAGCATTTAACCCCCGCCCCCCTTTAATGTCCACTTCCGCTTCCTATCCCGTAGTTAGGGTGGAAGACGACAGTCCTGTGCAACGGCGTGTGTGCATCAACTTGTGTGCGTACGTGCTTCAGTGTGTACGCATCAACTTGTGTGAATACGTGCAGCAGCGTGTGTGCATCAACTTGTGTGCAAGGAGGAAATTGAAATAATAGAAATGTACACGAGGATACGAATAATTTACGTTATGCACTTTGTTCCTTTTTAATGACGTTTTACTTATTATCTCCTTTTAATTTGATGTTAATGTAAATAAAGTATCATGTCAAATCTTAAAATAATGTTACCATGTTAGCCCACGCATTTCTGCTCGTGAATTTAATTGGAAGGGAACGATTCGGCAAACATGGATTGTAAATGTTACCAGCAGTCCTATTCAAAATCAGATATCAGTCATCATATCAGTCGGTCATCATAAAAATTTAAATGATAGTTTAATACAACTTCAATCAATTTATCCACCCGTCAAAATGCAAAATACGAATGACATTTAATCGTGTTACAATCAACTAACTAGTATAACGAATACGCAATTTCAATGATCTTCTCCATAATACAAATGATTGCTCTATACTGTCAGGGTTACGCACGGGTAACACTGTAAAGGGCATTGCAACATAATTGCTTATCAAATTCCATCAAACTCATATCCATTACATAAGAGAGATGTCTCTCCACGCTCTCGATGAAAAACTATTTAAAACAATTCATCGCTAATTAAGTGACGGCAAAAATTCCGAATTTATACAAAAAAATGCGTTTTTTGTTATTTCCCAGAAAGAGCAAAGAGTTGGGACCTAAACTTTTAACCATATAAGTTGTTCATAATAAGAACTAAAATAGAGTCCCTGGAATTTTTTTAAATGCTTTAATTTAGGAAATAAGTTGTACGATAATTTGTAGTGATTTTCAGAACGCAACAATTCCCTAAACAAATGGCCATAACTATAAAATATCAGATTTTTTTTTAATTTTAGGAACCGTTTTTTCTTTTGATCTGGTAGCATTCAGAAAACGTAACAAAAAAATTTGGAATCGGAGTTGTGAGTTTCGAGAAATAGCTTTTGAAAAATCAGCAACTTCAGCATTTCTAACAATTGAGATTAGCACTTCTAAATTTCCCATGATTGAACGCCCGTGTTGAGAATTGACTAATGCGGGGACTTGGAACTGTTTGGAAGGGTACATACATAATTTCTACGTATACCTAGCTGCCCATGGGTGCGATCTATCAAATAAATTGGGTATTGAAATTTCGACCGAAAATCCCCTCCAAACCCTGACAGTATGTTATACTGTTATGTTATACTGTATATGTTATACTGACGGCTGATATATTACAAGCTATTGGCCTTTTAATTACTAAAATTTTTTAAATCACTAGATATAAGTATATATACGCGTGTGCGAGTGTGCGTGCAAGCGTGTATGTGTTACCAGAGGTTTCCAAAAATCGTTTAACTCAGTTGGAAAATTTCTTAAACTGGTTTTTATTCATTAAAAAATAATAAATGAGACATTGCACATGGAAGATTCTTCATGGTCAAGCAACACACGTTTAGCAGTGAGGAATAGGGAATTGAGTTTAGACACCGTAAACGGGACTTGTGTACAAAGGAATAAAAATAGCAATATTAAAGAGGCAGAAATGTAACGTACATAACACGGTCTACAATTTCGAAAACAATTAGGAAGTAAGAGATGCACTTTGGGTGAAATAACTTTACATTTTTTCATTAACTGCTACTAAAACTTGATTCAGTGTTTTCTCTGTCAACAGAAATCAAATTCCATATAATATATCATTTAGTATGTTAGAATTGCAAAATACCCTGCTACTGGTTAGCAAACGTAAACCTTGCTGCCGGGCGGTTGTGTCAGAAGCTGGCTTTGTTACACTGTCTTATGATAGACTACAAAAGTAGGGCTTATCGACTCCTGAGGGTGGCAATACGTACGCACCTTGTTTGCATTTTCATTAGGTCAACACCTGGACACTATACGAACAGTGTGTATACTACATACGGTAAGCTTGTTCTTCTGTTGAGTAGGGAACGAAGAGTTTGTTTCACAGACAGTTACATGTGCCACATATCACGCCCAAGTATCCACGTAATTTACAGGCGGACGAGTACAGATACCAAAGTGTATGATTAAGCTTACTTAGCGCTTTATAAACGCAGTTTCCAATCTCATGAATGGTGTTTCCACGCACATTGTTGTAATGAAGGCCATACAATATGTGAAGAAGATATTGCCAGCGTATCTCATGATCTGTTAAAAAAAATGCATATACATGTACCTAACTGACCATAATATGGTGATAATCTATAAGACCGATATCTGCAAATCAATACATATATCCGTATTATTATATTGATATACAGTATCGCTGGCGTAAAATATTAGGTTGCGCATATGATGTAGCGAGCGAGAGAAAGAGAGAGAGAGAGAGAGAGAGAGAGAGAGAGAGAGAGAGAAAGAAAAAGGGAAGAATTTACACGGGCGCGCAAAACCGAGAGAGAGAAAGAGATATATAGTCAAGTGAGCAAAACATAGGTGAAAGAGGCGGGAAGAGCGATGTATATATATATATATATATATAAATTATTATATATATAATATAATATATATATACTATATACTATATATATATATTATATGAAGATACACGGGAAAATGATCTATGTCACTTTTTCTTTTTTTGAGAAAATTTTACAGGTAATAAGTTTCAAAAACGCTTCCATATTTTTGGTGTGATGTCCAGAGTTTGATTGGACTTAAAACGGTTCGTTCTGTACGCAAAGGACATAGCATCGCTTCTGCACTGTGATCCCGATTCTTCCTGCTATAGAAATGGACATGGAGTTCGTTTTGTCAAGAAACCTAGGTAGCTTAATGATAAGCTTACTTGATAATGCAACCATATAGCAGCCACCATCTCAAATTTCTCCAAAATGTGACCGTTTTTCCATGTAGTCTTCATATATGTATATGTATGTAATGTATGTATGTATGTATGTATGTATGTTGTATGTTATGTATGTATGATGTATGTATGTATTGTATGTATGTATGTATGTATGCTATGTATGTATGTATGTATGTGTGTGTGTGTGTTGTATGGTGGTGTGTGTGTTGTAGTGTGTGTGGATGTGTGTTGGTGTGTGTGTGTAGTGTTGTGTGTGGTGTGTGTGTGTGTGTGTGTGTGTGTGTGTGTGTGTGTGTGTGTGTATCGCTGTGTGTCGCTGCGTGCGGGTGCGTGGCTGCCATGCCGACGTTCCGTGCGCTGCGACAACCGTGCCGTGCGTGCGTGGCGTGCGTGCAGTTGCGTGGCGTGCATAAGCTGTGTCGCTGTGGGTGGATGTGCCGTGTGTTGTGTGTGTTGTGCTGTGTGTGTGAGCTGTGCTGTGTGACTCGTTGTCGTGTGTGTGTGTTGTGTGTGTGTTGAGTGTGTGTGTGTGTGTGTGTGTGTGTGTGTGCTGTTGTTGGTATGTTATGTATGTATGTATTGTATGTAGGTAGTATGTAGGTATGTATGTATGATGTAATATATATATATATAAATATTTATATATAGGGTATATATTAATAGGGTATATTTTAATCATAGGGTATTATGTATCGGTATTGATATGGCTAAATATTTAATATAGGAAATATGTATAGAGGGTATATTTATATATATAGGGTTATATATTATATTAAAGGGATATATTTTATTATATATGGGTATAGATTATATAGGGCGTATATTTTATATATAGGGTATATATTATATAGGGTATATTTTATATATAGGGTATATATTATATAGGGTATATTTTATATATAGGGTATTTATATATAGGGTAATTATATATAGGGTATATATTATATAGGGTATATTTTATATATAGGGTATTTATTAAAGTCATTTTA